AATTTTTCACTCGCGAGTTGCTGATTTAAAAGCAACAAAGAAAAGGTTTTTTTCATCGGATTGTGACTGGAGATGAGAAGTGGATATTTTACGACAACCCCAAGAAGAAAAAAGACTACGCTAAGCCCAGTCAATCGTTGCCATCGACTTCAACATCAACACCAAAGCCGAACATTCATGGTTCAAAAATCATGCTCTACATCTGGTGGGACCAAAATGTTGTTGTTTACTATAAGCTATTGAAACTTGGCGATTCCATTACAGGCGATCTGTATCGGCTACAATTGATTCATTTGAGCCGTTCATTGCGAGAAAAAGGTCCGGAATACGAGCAAAGACATGATAAAGTTATTCTTCTTTATGATAAGGCCTCATGTCGCAAAAGTCGTAAAAAAATATTTGGAAACGCTTAAATGGGATGTTTTACCGCACTCGCCGTATTCTCCGGACATTGCTTCTTTTGATTATTGGTTGTTCCGAAGGATGCAGCAAGATTTGGCAGGTCACTAGTTTACTTCTTTTGCAGAAATCGAAAATTAGTTCCAAACTTGGATCGCCTCCAAAGACGAGTCATTTTTTCGAGATGAAATTCGAAAATTGCCTGAGAGATGGAAAAATGTAGTAGCCAGCGATGGACAATACTTTAATTAATCTGTTTATTTATTTTGTTTTGAAATAAATCCATTGTTGAACACAAAAAAACGGATTGAACTAATTTGTACTCCCAATATTAATATTTTTTTTCCGAGATTTACAGTCTTGGAAAAAGTAATATTATTGATGATAGTAAAATATTTCAAGATGCGTTATATTTGTTTAGGAATTATTACATATGTGTTAACTGGAAGGATTCAAGAGTGTTTTGAATATTGAAAGTTATTACTGTTTTTTTTTTATATATTTTTGGTGTGTAAATTATAACAAGAATCTACATTTTTCAGACATAATCTCAAAATATTTAATTCATATTATACAAAATTCAATTAATTAATATTATATTTATATGATGAACAGCTCGTACTGAATACTATACCTTCAAGTCCAAATTACAAATTGGCGTTGCAACTGATTCCAGAATTTGACAGACTTAATGTCGAATCGTTTATCGAGCATGTCTAGGTCGCAGTGAAGCGACTGGCAACTGATCAACACGGACTATTGTTGATTAGTATCATCGCTCAGAAATTAACAGGAAGAGCAAAAGGCACAGTAAAGCTTGATGGCGTACAAAGTTTCTCACAATTATTTGAGAAATTCCGATCTTTGCACGGAAAAGCGCAAAATCTTACCGCGCTGGAAGTTCAACGAGACACCTGTTTCCAACGACCAAATGAGAGCGTTGACGACTTTATAAATCGTTTCTTTCGCGTTCAAGACAAAATCATAACTGCAATTAACGCGCAAAACACCAGCTACACAAAGATCGTCAGTCAAAAAAAAATATACTAACAAAAGGCAATCGAAGTTTTTCGTCGTAATGTGAAAATGGAAATCAGCGATCATCTTTACTCGTTCGATCATCTCGACACTTTAAATTTGGTATTTTGCAAAGCTCAAATGTTTGAAGGAGAATGAGAATGCAACGAAACAAAAATTACAAGAGATCGATGCCGCAGAAATCACAGTTTTCTTTAAAAGAATGTAATTATTGCAAGAGACGTGGACACGAAGAGAAGGAATGCAGAACAAAGATGTTTCATCAACTACAAGACCACCGACAGCAAAATTTTCACGAGCGCCGAATTAACGGTCAACCACTGGGCCTGCAATCGCATCGGTCACAGACAATGGAACAGGACGAGATCGAGTCATTTATCGAGGCGAATTCCAGCAAGGACCCGACGGAACATACGTCCGAGCACCACGAGTTGGACTAAAAATCTCAGGTTTCCAAAAAATTAGTTTTCTAGTAGATACCGGTTCAGATTTGTCATTAATGACATAACGCGAAGCGTATATTGAAAATAAAAATTTGCCGAGAGTAGGTCCTATTATAATAACAGGCGTAACAACTCACTCTTTGAAAACAAAATACGGTGTAGAAATAGAGATATTTGGGAAAAAACATATATTCCATGTGTTAGATGATAACTCACCAGTTAAATCAAGGTATTTTAGGAATAGATTTTCTTACGAAAAACAACTTCCTATTTTCACATAAGAATTTAATACTTGGAGGGCAAGAATTTAAGCGAATCGATAAGTCATATCTCAGTGCGTGCAAAAATCGGGATGTAGTAGTAATATTTGAAAATGACACAGGAGCTATCACAAAAATGAATGATTCCAATCAACCGATTATTCCAAAACATTTAATGAATAACATAAAATGCATTGAAAATTTTCACGAGAACAGTATCTATTCAATCACTAGACAATCTTTAAGTAATGATCGATTGCGCATATTAAAAGAAAGTACACGACTTTCACACATTTCAGAACACTCAAATGAAATTTGAAATATTGTACAAGAATTTCATGATATATTTGCCTTACCCGGAGATCCTCTTTTTCTAACTAATTTAATTCAACATGAAATTAAAACCACAGATGACGTTCCTATCAATACTAAACAATATCGTTATCCTCCGATACATCAAGAAGAAATTAAAACACAAATTAAAGACATGTTTTTTATTTTTATTTTTTTTTATTAAACTTAATCCTTGCCTTTCGGCTTTGGATGGCTTCCGGTTGCTTTACACTTTACATTTCTTACATTTTATCTATTTACATTTTTACCTCTTTACATCTTAATCTTTACCCGACATAACTTTCATTTTCATTTTAGCCTTTTAACATTTTAAACATTTTAACATTTTAACATTTTAGCCTCTATAAAACTTATGAAACAGATAACATAATATATTATATTATAATATTATAGTATATGACACCTTAGTATCGTAATATCGTAATATAGTAGTAATTAATTTCTCGTAATACTGCTAATTATCACTGTTCTTATTCCTATTCCTAATATTGCTTTTCCCCTTTCTCATCACTCGCCGCTCGTACTGTCCTTGCACTTAACATCACTCTGTTTATCCCCTGTGTATCTCTGCTTCTTTGGTATTCTTCTTTCTTTTTCTTTTCTCTTCTTTCCTCCCCTTCTTTCTCTTTCTTATCTTCCATTTCTTTTTCTTTTTCTTTCCTTATTTTATCTATTCTCCTCATTGCTTCACAGCCTTTCCCATCTTCACTTAAAAACTCTTCTTCTGATATTTCTTCTTTCGTTTTTTCGCAATTCTTCAATACATGTGTTAGGTCCTCTATTTCGACTCCGCATATTCTGCACATCCTTTCCTCCTCTGTTAGCCAGTGTTGGTTCCCTTTCATTTCGTTCCCGCATCTGTATCTTGCTATCCTTGTCCTTTCCTTCTTGTTTTTCTTTCCTCTTAAGTATGCCGGTGCTGCTTCTGTTCTTACTTTTTTATAGCTGACGTTGTACCTTAATTCCTCCATCTTTTTCTTTCTTTCTTCCTTATCTTTCTCTTTTATTTTCTCTATTATTTCTTGCACTACCTCCTTCATCTCCTCTTTCTCTCTCTTCTCTTTCAATTCCTCCCTGCTAATACCCACGTCTTTCATCACCTCTTTTCTCCATTTCTCCCACCTACTTTCTTCCCCTCTCTCTATTTCTTTCATGCACTCTACTACTAGCTTCTTTTTCGACTGCCGTGCCTTCTCTTCATATTTCACCGCTCTTTTTATGGCCTCCAGTCTTAGTTCCTTCATTTTCGTCTCCTCTTTTACAATATAATTCGGCGTTCTTCTATCCAATCCCAGTATCCACTTTATGTATTTTCTCGTCACTTTATCCAGTCTTTCTTCCTTCTTCCACCCCCATATTTCTGCGCCATATAATGCCACACTACCCACCAGAGCGTTGTACATTTTTGTATCATCCTTCTTCTGTAGTCCTCTTTAAATAATCTTTCCCCGATGCTCCACGTCTGCTTCATCGCGATCACCGCTCTTCTCATTCTTTCCTCCACATGTTTTTCTGCTTCTCCGTTTTTCTGTAGTATGTATCCTAAATACCTTATCTCCTTCACCTCCTCTATCCTTTCTTCTCTCCAGTTCCACTTTCTCGCCCTTTTTTTCCCTTTTCCTCTCTCGAACACCATTACTTTTGACTTTTCTGGGCTTAAAATCATTCCTTTTCCTTCTAAATACTTCCTGAACCTCCTCATCATGTTCTTCAGTTCTTGTTCGCTCCTTGTCATCCGCATAAGTGATCGTCCAGACTGTTTCTTTACTTATTGAAGCTCCACCGAATTGCTCTTTCCTCATTTCTGCTTCCAAGTCCATCATATATACGTTGAACAGTGTTGGGCTCATAGGACATCCCTGTCTGACTCCACTTCTCGTCCAGAACTTCTCCGACTTTCCTTTTCCTATTTTCACTTTGTTTTTCGTTTCTTTGTAGGTCTCCATGATTCTTTTTCTTAACTGTTCTCCAATCCTCGCCTTTTTCAGCATTTCTCTTAATTTAACCCTATCCACCTTGTCAAAAGCCGCTTTTAGATCCGCGAAGAATGCGAAGATCTTCCCTTTCTTTTTTGCTATTTCTTTGTTTGCTATGAAGTTCAGGATGTAAATTGCGTCCGTCGTGCCTCTTCCAGCCCTGAAACCAAACTGTCCTTCTTCCAATTTTTCTTCTACTTCTCTCTTCAATCTTTCATTTAGGATGTTTGCATATATCTTATACGCCGTATCCATCAGGGTCACCCCTCTGTAGTTCTTTACTTCGCCTTTCTCTCCTTTTTTGAATATGGGGCTAATTATCCCTCTATTCCACTCTTCAGGTATTCCTCCTTCCTTCCATATCTTCCTTATCAATTTTAAAAATACTTTGCCTGTTCTCTCCGGCATTAGCCTCCACGCTTCATTCTCTATTCCATTTTCTCCTGGTGCCTTTCCTTTTTTCAGTTTTCTTAATTGTTTCACTAGTTCTTCCTTTGTTATTTCTTCTATCTCTTCATTACTCTTCTTTCCTATTCTCCTCTTCGTTCCTCTTCCTCCTCCATTATCACTCTCTCCTTTGTTCCTCCTAGTAGCTCCATAAAATGTTCGTTCCAGGTGTGTAACTCTATCCCCTCGTCCACTCTTTCTCTCTTCTTTCTGTATTTATTTATATACCTCCATGCTTCTTCTTCTGTCCTTATGGATCTTATTTTTTCTTCCTCTTCCTCCTCGTGTTTCTTTTTCTCCCCTTCACACCATTTTCTATACTCCCTTCTCTTTCTTACATACTCCTCCCTTTTTATCTTGTCTTTCTTCAATTTTCTTAGTTTCCGTCTTAGCTCTCTTTTTTTCTCTTTCCATTCCTTGCTGTGCCATTCCTTTCTTCCTAACCTCCATGGCGTTACCTTTTTCTTGACCCTCATTATTGATTCTTTCACTTTATTTTCCATTGCTGACCACATCTCCTCTATATTTGTTTCCGTGCACCCCTCACATTTTTCATGATAGTGCTCTATCCCTTCCACCGACCATACGCTCCTTTTCACCTCCACACAGCCACTTTCTTTTCTTCTTTTTCTTCTTATTCCTTCTATTTCCACTTCCATTGGAACATGGTCCGATTCTGTTCTGCTTCCTTCCTCCACCTTTCTTACCTCCTCTATAGCCTTTTCATTCGTTACCACATAATCTATTACCGATGCTCCTTGTTCTCCTATGTATTTCCATTCTCCTTGCTTTCTATTGCTTCCGTTAAGTATCATCTATCCTTTTTCTTTCAGCTTGTTTACCAATATTCTCCCTTCTCTGTTCACCACCTTGTCTCTTGATCTCCTTGTTTTCTCCTCCTCTTTTTTTCCGTATCCTATTGGTCCACCTTCCTCCCCGGTTCTAGCGTTAAAGTCTCCTCCTAACATTAAATATCCTTCCTTGTCTTCCTCTATTGCCTCCTCCAGGTTGTCCATTGTTTCTTCTATATTTTGATTATACAGAGTAATTATCCTCCACTTTTTTCTGTTGTATGCCATGCTTATCTCCATTGCTCCTTTGTTTATTTCTTTTACTTTTACTCCCCTCAGTTCTTTGCTAGTTGCCACGATTATCCCTCCTTTGGCTCTTCCTTTCGCGCACTCCCTTGTCGCCGGTATGCAATTCCACTTGTATTTGTTTGGCACTCTCGTTATCCATTTCTTCCACGTTTCTTCTTCTATCCAAGTTTCTGTCAGACCTATAATGTCAAATTTTTCCAGATACTCCCATGTTTCCTCACATTTGTTTGCCAATCCTGCAATATTCCAAAAACATATTTTTAATTTTTTCTCTTTGTCCTCCTCCTTCTCCCTCCCTTCCTCCTCCCTTTCCTGATTCTCTCATCCTCAATCTCTTTTTTCACTTCTTGTTTCTTCCAATCTCCCTGCCTTCTCATTCCATCTGTACCACTTCTCTTTCTTCTTAATTTTCATGTAACCTACTTTCACTTTATCATCTCCCTTCTCTCTTTCTTCCTTTGCTATTCCTCTCAGCCTCTTCTGTATCTCTCTTTCTTTTCTTGTTAAATCATCTTCTATTATAATTCCTTTGTTTAATCCTTTTTTCTTACTCATAATTTCTCTTTTTTCCTCCCATTTATCTATCTCTGCAATCACTATGTTTTTACTTTCATTTATTCTGATCTTGCTTGCCTTTTTTACTGCCACTTCTATCTTCAGGCTATCCTCTATAAATTCTTTCACTTCCTGTTCTAGCCTTTCCCTTTTATCTTCTCTCCACTTCACTCCTTTTATAACTACGTTGTTCTTCCTTTCTCTTCTCTCTTTTCTTTCATTGGTCCATTCCAGTTCCTCTATTCTCTTCTCTAGTAACTCTTTTTCTTGTCTCCACTTTTCTCTCTCTCTTCTTCTTTCTTCTTCTCTTGTCCTTCTTTCTTCCACCATCTGTTCCTTCATTCTTTCCATTTCTTCCCTCATTTCTTTTCTCATTTCCTCTATTTCTCTCTCTCTATTATTATTCTCTCAAATCCTTTCCTCCATACTTCGTCACCGCCGGTGACATATTTCTCTAGTGACTTTTCGTCTCCTCTGTTTTTACTCCTGCTCCCCGCCTGCTTTCCCGCCGTCGGCGCCATCTGCTACTTCCTTTTTCTTCCACCTTCTCCCGCCTTTTCTCGCTTCTCCTTAACCTTTCTACTCCTTACGTTTTTCGCCCTGGACAGCTCTGCTCTCCTTTTGTTGCTCCCTTGTGCCTTTATTTCCTCGTCTTCTCTCGCTCTTCCTCTCTCTTCTCGTTACCACTATTCCCACTAAACTCGCTACTTTCCACTTTTATCTCACTTTTTCTTCTCGCTACTGTGTATGCCCTTGTGCCTTTCTCGCTAGCTCCACCGGAAGTCCAATTAAAGACATGTTAGAAAAGGACATTATAAGAGAATCAGACTTACCTTACAACTCACCGCTGTGGGTAGTACCGAAAAAACAAGACGCGTCGGAAAAAACTAAATGGAGATTAGTTATAGATTATAGAAAACTTGATGAAAAAACTATTCAGGATGCTTATCCTCTTCCAAATATTGATAAAATTTTAAGTAAGTTAGGAAACGCACGATATTTTTCAGCTTTTGATTTAGCATCGGGCTTTCACTAAATCAACATGAATTCAAAAGATATTCCTAAAACAGTTTTTTCAACTTCAAATGGACATTACGAATATACGCGTATGCCTTTCGGTTTAAAGAATGCATTACCGACGTTTCAAAGAATGATAAATAAAAGATTAAAAGGTTTAGTCGGAAATAGTTGTTTTGTTTATATTGTAAAGAATATGTTGCAGACGACGCTAGTCTGGTGCATTCTCTGCTGAATACTATGGTAACTAACAGCTGTAGATCGATATACGAAAATCGATCCGCTTGCGATTCTCGAAATGCGAAGGCGAACCATGTTGAAACTCAGACAGAGATCCCAGATCGTGCAAACAGCATCGAAGCGGCGAAACCCCCACCACTTCGATGCTCTCGTACGCACACAAGCGAGAGCCGCGTCCGTGTGCGACACGCTCGGTTGTCGGCTTGTGGAAGAGTGCAGACATAGCATGTTGTGTCTTCTTTTCACCAAGACGGTCACGGCTGTGTTCCAAATTGACTGCCAGCGCTGTAAGTATGTCGTCATGAAAGCAAGCTACCAACATCGTTTCAATTTTGCTAAGCATACTATCAGCACAAATATGGATTTCAAATTGGAACGATATTTTAGTCCGTATCAGTGCTATAATAGCAGAGAAAATAAACATACATAACTTAAAAATATGGAAAACAATATACAAAAAAAATTACTATTCGAAAATTACATTAAAGAAATATGTGATTCTAGTGAAGAATCAGATTCAGATTCAGATTTAGATCTTCTAGCAGAAGCATTACATAATTGCGAACATATACCAAAAATTAAAAAAATATATTGTAAGAATTATATCGAAGATGTGGTTTGGCAATATACCGATGCTGATTTTAAAAGTCATTTTCGGTAAGTAATTTATTAAAATATTATTTTTTATGTAATTAACAAATAGAAGTTATTAATGATATTTTATATAATATATGTTTTATTTGAATTAAAAATAAAATGCATAAGTACATATAAGTCTAGAGAGAAAATTACATATATTAAAGTACTGTAAAGAATGACTATGCGTGTATATATAACAATATATATATATAGGCTATGCAAAATTCATATTATATATATATAATGTGAATTATATATATATATATATATATACCCAGCAAACAATTTGGTTGCGAGATGTCGCAGTTTTGTCGCCAACCGCCGGCGAAATTAGTAGACTAAATCCATATCCATCTGTGTCCTCATTAGGATATGGTTTGGCGACCATATCTGTCAAACATGTAAGATGTCAAAATCAGACCAAAATCATAACAAGTCTGCTACTAGCAAAGCAAAGCCAAAGTGACGCACCAAATCCAGAACAGATTTGGTGATCGTTTGTTGGCGCCAAAATTGCGCCAAATACACATCATATCTGTTACCAGCACTGTTAACAAAACAGTAGCAAGTACAGACCAAATTTGTCGTCAGAAACGTCGACAGATTGCTACCAAACGCAGATCAGATCTGTTCCCTAGAATCCAAGTGGAATTACTACAAAAAAAAAGAAAATCAGTGGTATATCGCCTTATCGGAAAAGAATTAATTCGAGATTTCATTCGAATTAATTTCTAGAAGCCTGATTCAACTCGTTGATCAACCGATGAACTCCATTGAAAAAGACCGAATCTGAAAAAATCCTAAATGTGATAGCGGGATTTGAACTCGAGACCTCTGTTGTGAGCCAATTTTTGTGTTAAGATGAGGCCATTAAGCAATGTGATGAGACATCACTGTCATTGCTCAATGACCTAGTTAGATAGCAGGAAGGCAGCAGTTCTAGGAAGAACTACTGGTTGCCACAGGGCGCCACACATCGCCGCGTTGTGTGAAGTGCAAACGCAGCATGTGTCGACACCGGCACCGGTAACTAGCACGGCCGTTGCTAGGACCGGTGGGCCTGCTGAATCAGCGCGATCGATTACTATAAATCGATCGCGTGGATGAAGCAAAGGAGAGACTGAGTTGGGACTGCTAGCTCACTGTGTGGCTCCGCAAGCCGGAGAGTTTACCGCAGTGAGACATAGCCGTGTAA